GGCTAAACAGGAACGTATCTAATCTATTCCCTTATTTTAAAAGATACAAAGACAAAACAAAAGCTGAAGAAGAGAAATGCTTTTGCAGCTTTCATTAGCCTGTGTTGCTACTAGTACGTGTGGTTTCTTTAAGGTAAGTTTATTTTCAACAAATTTTTGAAAAAAATATTTTGCATGCCTGCCTGTAACACAAGTGACTAACACAAGTTTTTGTAAGATTTCACAATATCTTTCAAAAACGAAAAAAGACACGCTTCATTTCATTAAACAGTAATTTTTATGACTGTGTTTTGTTTTCATGAAAAGGAATCTCAGTACTCCTAGGTGCCAATATTACACAGAGTTAAACCCTGACTGGAATATTAAAAATACTCGTATGACACTGGGAGGTAGAAGAACCCATAAGTCAGAAACTTACTCAAGCACTTCAAAATACAAGGACTCTATGGTCTATTGTTGGGCACACTTAAACAAAACGAAGTCTGATTTACTTTGAGTACAGCATGTAATATGACTAAGATTTTCCAACCATTTCTTCTATCTGGTCTCACCTTGACCGATTTCCAATCTGGTCCACCTAGACTGGATTGAACAGGCTAGCTCACATCACTGAACATCGATTCAAATTATCTTGGTATGAATCTACTTGCTGATGCAGGAACATTGCCTATTTTTAACCACGATTGTTTGCTGAACTGCAGTACTAACGAGTTCTCCTCTTTCAGCTTTTGGTGTTAAAGTGTAGGTTAAAGGCGTTATAAAAAAAGCACACAAAATATAAAAAAAGCGCACAAGATACTGGGGTCAATTTGTGTGAAACGCTCCCCTGTGTTTAGCGCCAAGGAACTTTAAACTGAGAGCTGCAAGCGCACTTGACAGTATGCAGTACTAAATGAATACACAACATCCAGCCGGTATTTCTGCTTTTCTTCATCCTCGTTTTACACAGAGAGCTTTTTACAAAGGCCACCAGTGTCACTGTAACCGCCTCCCACCTCCAAAAGGCACTGCTCTAGAGGCAGCAGCATGGCCCTACCTACAGTCACAGCTCCCGAGGGCAAAATTTCCCCACTACTCTCCTTCGCAAAGGCAAGGGCACTGCCTTCATCGACTGACCTCCCAAAGGTCTTTTCTCTACCCACGTTACTGCTGATCAAGAAATGCCAATTATCAAGCAAATTCCTTACTGTAATTAAAACAAGGCAACACACAAAATAATTATGACAACAAAGATCAATTAAAAAACAACTAGACAAGCTTCCGCTTATCCACAATGTCTCATACCACTGATGATTAGAGACCACATTGGGCAATAACCTATGACTAAGATTAAACTTAAGGGAAAAAAAAAAAAAAAAGAAAACAAAACCAAACCCACAAAGTGATCATGATCATGAGAAGACTTTTCAGTGCTGAAGATTTTCAAGGAAGTATCTTCTATAAATAAGTTCTGCTTGAGAAATTACAGTCTAATACATTTTGTCTTTCCATGATACGAGAGGATGCTAGCCCCTTGCTATTCTACCATTAGAGCAACTAGCCTGGAAATAATTATTTTGCTTTGGCATTTCCCATGAGTGCTGAGGCAGGTAGGAATTGCTCACGGAATGAAATCCTGTCTTTCTCCAGGGAGGCTGCTGTCTATACAAGCATGCAGGTTTTTAAAAGCCAGCAGTAAAAACTGTCAGTCAGACAGAAACTTAGTATTAATTCTGTGTGCTGATTTCCTTTGTGTCATGTCTTCACCTCAGAGCAGTGGTTAAGAACTGTCACAAAATGACTTATGGAACTAACAATAATTAGCCAAAGCTGCTCTCAGCTCCAGTCCAGATTTCAGCTCTCACTCCATGAGTCAAGAAATTCTTCTCGGAGTGCAGGTGGGAGCAGAGATTTGTGATCTGATGCATTACATCTCTGAAAGCTGGGGGACATGCAGCTACTGCAGGGTAGCAGTAACTAGGATTTTTAGTCACGGTGACACACCAAAAGCATTGACACAATGGGATTCCACAGGGAAAGTTACTTTTTATCAGATGCTTTGCAGCTAATTTGTTTGTGTACAACGTTACGCATCATTAGTTTGTAGTACATATGAGGTAGTTTCTCAAATGAAGCATCTCAAATGATAAGCCATTAACTCTAGTTTTACATACTATACATAGCATTTGTATTGTACCAGTTAGAAAAATAAATGCATAGTGGGGCAGCAGGAA